CCCTGGAAGGTAACCGCAGGTTCCCATCTGTCATGCAGTTTCGGTTTGGTAAATATCTTACCATTCTTGTTGCTGTATTTCGCGTAATATGGTATGTACATTGTCAAACGGATATCCCTCATACCACGGATCTCGCTCATATGAGGGATCTCGAGCTGGTTAGTAACGAGGCTACGTGGCGCGCCCCAGGTGGCGGATAGGGGGTTAATCGAGGACCAAAAGCGACCTGTGCTTACCTGACACGCAGGTGGACCCATGGGATGGACTTCCTGCTTCTGCTGCGCCGACTTGGCACATACTTTCTGTACTTGCTCGGCGTATTGATCCATGCGTGTGTGGGTGCGCTCTTGCTTATGCGGATTGTGTTCTACGAGTCAATTCGGCCAAAATTCTGCAATCAAGTGACTGGGAAGTGTATGGGACGCGGTTAGGAGTCTTCCCCAATAAATACGCTCCATGTCCACTCTGGGACAGCCTGGCAAGCTACCCGTGAGTATACCCAGCCTTCACGTTCAGAGCTCAGCAAGCTATACGTGGGCATCAAAAACGCTAAACACAGTAGAAAAAAACGGACTTCATTCCCCTGACCCTGAAAGAGCCCCCAATTTCGCGGCGTTGGGTAAGACGAATACGGAGGCGCTCCTAAAACCTCAGGACCAATGGAAGCCACCTGGATTTCAAACAACTATGGTGATGATCTGTACCCACAATGCACGTACACTTGCATCCGAGTTTTCGATAGAAGAATTTCTCATGCAAGCAAAAAGGATAAGGTAAGACATCATCGGCCTGGGCGAGACGAGACGAGACCAGCCATTCAACACCGTCTATGACAGTGGAGAAGAACTGTTCTTTGGAACATGCGACAGTAGAGGAGGCGGCGGTGTCGGCTTTTTCATCAACACGAGTTTGTCCATGAACATCGATTCATTCGAATAACTTACCACCCGAATCGAACGTTTACGATTAAAAAGGCGGGGATCAATACCGACTTTGACATTCTTCGTCGTTTATGCGCCGATATCAAACTACGGCGAAGAAGAGGCCAAAGCGTTCTATATGGACCTGGAGAAGTTCTAGAGAGAAGACCACACATTCTTCAAGGTCACCAAAGGAGGTTTCAATGCCAAAATTAGACCAAGAAGAACGTCTGAAGAATGTCACATTGGAACCGTGGATTGGAATGGTACGAAAAGGTTGAGCGGCGATCTGAGTTTATCGTAGCGACCAAAACGATCCATGGTAGCCCGCAATTACAGAAACCCCACCCTCAACGCTGGACGTGGAAGTCTCCCATTGGAGAGTACCATAACGAAGCAGACCACATCTCAGTAAATAGAAGGTTTTGCCTAAGCGATGTCGTTGTTGTCCTAAAATTCTACATGAGATCAGACCACCGTCTCCTTCGTGCTAGATTCTATTTTTCGCTGTAAGCAGAAAAAGCCGCTAAATTCGAAAAACGAAGTCCCAGAAACACCACAAACTGAGACCTATTCAATTCAATAGTCAGCTGTTGGAAAGACGCCGTTGTCGACAATATCGACGAAGAATACGATCGGCTCATTCAACATCTTCACGTTAGCGCTATGAAAGCTGAGAGATCAAAAGTCACCAAAAGACGTTTGTCTTCAGAAACACTCGAGCTGATACGCCAGCATGGAATCCCGCGAGCTGCAGGGAACCACGAACTAACGTCCGAACTTGCAAAACAATGCAGACAGACGATAAAAGAAGATGTTAAAGAGAGAAGACCATCAGTAATGGTCGAAGCTGCAGAGACTGAGAAAAGCATTCGCAAAGCACACCGAAGCTTTACCAATTACAAGACCAAAATCATTGCACTCTGGCGCCCAGACGGAACAGTTACACCGTTCAAAAAGGCATGGGAGAAAATCGTTCACGAATAGTACTCAGATCTCTTGTATAGCCACGTCCATCTTCTGTCACATGAAATAAAGGAGGATGGATATGTTGTACCACCGGTTCTCACTTCCGAAATCCCGCATGCCATTTCGTCGGTGAAAAATCGAACAGCACCAGATCCGGACAGGATAAAATTTGAACACCTGAAAAACCTTGCGCCAGTCCTCGTAAACACACTGGCTCGGCTCTTCACACGTCACCTGTCCGAATACAAGGTCCTTACTCAGTGGAAGAGTGGTAGAACCGTGTTATTGTTTAATAAGGGTGACGTACGCGACATCGGCAACTATCGCCTCAACCTGCGTGCTGTCTGTCGTCTACAAACTTTCCACTCGAGTCATCCTAAACAGGATTGACAGAACACTAGACGAAGGGCAGCCATGTGAGTAAGCAGGGCTTCGAAAAGGATTTAGTACGGTGGACCACATTCACACGGTAACAAGGCTCATTGAAGTATCGCGAGAGTACAAAAGACCGCACTGTCTCACTTTTATCGATTTACAGAAGGCCTTTGATTCAGTTGAGATAGAAGCAGTCATGGAAGCCTTTGATAGCGAAGGGATCCCTACTCAGTACGTAAAGATTCTTCCTGCGCTGTACAAAAAGGGATATCACCATTCTATAGCGATATTAACATTGGCGTCAAAAGAGGAGTTAGGCAAGGCTATTCCATCCCGCCAAAATTATTTACCGGCACCCTCCAGAACGTAATGCGAACATTGTAATGAGATATTTTGGGAGTAAAAATCGTTGGTCAGTAGTTACATCATTCTTCGCTTTGCTGATGACATCGTCCTTACAACACCAAACACTAGTGAAGCGGAACGTATGCTTGACGACTTTGATAAAGTCTGTGGAAAGATTGATCTTCCACTAAATCTCACAAAAACGATGTTCATGAAAAACGGATTGGTTTCGCATGCCCCATTCACGCTTAACGGAACGAATATCTTCGAATGCTCCACTTATGTCTACCTGGGTCGGGAAATCAATATGATGAACGACTTAACCCCAGAGTTGAGCAGAAGGAAACGAGCGGCATGTGAAGCTTTCAAAATCATCGAGGATGTGGTGAAGAGAATAAAGAACACTTAAATCCGTACTCACCTTTTCGACTCAACGGTACTTCCTTCGTTAACGTATGCGTCAGAAAAGTGTTCGCTGCGTAAGAAGGATGAGAGGTCACTCCGCGTTATTGAACGCGCAGTCGAAAGGACGATGCTAGGAGTATCCCGTTTCACATGAGTAAGGGATGGAATCCGAAGCTCCGACCTGCGTGAACGGTCAAAAATCAAAGATGCCATCCTGTACGCCAAAGAGTCGAAGACAAGGTGGGCCGGACACGTAATGCGTATGAATGACAACCGATGGACAAGAGCCGTTAATGACTGGATTTCTCGGGATATCAAACGTACTGCTGAAGACTACCGACCCGATGGTCAGAGTTTTTTACGAAGAGCCTAGAAGAAAGATATGATGCTCGACGAGTCCCTATAGCGAGCAGAACCCACTGGGCTACTCTTCCACGCGATAGGGAAAGGTGGAGGATTTACTGGCGCCCGCTCGAGTCACTCGACGATCAACGGGACTACAGGTGATAGAGGTAATACGTTGTCAAGGCTCTACTTATGGGAACGCACGGCAGTTTTGTACAAGGAAGTCAATAATAATCGTTATGTCATCAACGAAAAAGTGTGATGCTGTTCATGTTACCGGAGGAACCAAGGTCCATTATGCAGCCATAGTACCCATATGAGAGCAATGGATCTTACTGACACTATTTTGGCTTACGGGATTATTAGTGGGATCAGAGGTGGAGCAGGTGAATTCGTTACTCTGATAATAAATTATGAAGAGAACATAAAGGTGCAAGCACCACAACATTCTCTACGAATTTTTTTATAGCGATGAAAAATGAATGGAGGAATAATGGTAGAAAATAATGGAGAGAGATACTGTCAAATATGAAGCGAGTTTAATTTTGTGGAATGTCAATACGCTTGTATACTAATGTAAAAAGCATATGCAGAAACAAATAAAACATAATTGCAAAAATTCGACTGATGTACTTTATTATATGTACACAGCTGCTACAAATAATACGACATAGTTCCAAAAATAAATCCTGAAGACATATGCAAAGCATGCATATTGATCGACTATTTTCCCAGCGGAAGTCCGTTGGATATGCATCTTCCAAGATAGCAATTCATTCCAGGAGGGCAGGCGATACCGTTTTGACAGGCTTAAAATATTTGAAAAATCAATCTAAGTAATGAAAAATTGTTATGTATATATGCATAGATATACAGATATAGATGCGAAGTACAGTACTCGATCTCTTTACAAGTGTTGTGTGATCATTTATAGGGTTCGAACAATATCCATTTCAATGACATAAAGACAATCATCTGCAGTGTTCTTGAGACTTAACTAAGGAATGTTTCGTTTCTTTCATCTTATGTTTCAAAAATGTCATCTTTAAAAACATTGTTCCAATTTCTTCTTTCTACAACTTTTCATTACTTAGCCAGCCTTTGACCGACTTCTAGCAGTGTTTGGAAACGAGATATACTTAGAAGCGTTAGAATTGAGATCTTTTAAGAACAAACGAAATGATAACTTCAATAATACTGAGTTTTTTGCATAACTCCCAACGGCAGGTGTCTGCGGTGAGGAACGAACGCGCTATTGTCCTTTCCGAGGAGCAACGTGTTCACCACCACACCATGTGGGTCCTTCGTTTCGCCTCTCTCTCCGCTACTTCTATCGATCTCTGCCATCAGCAGTCACCTGTCAGCGGGATTGATCTGGAGAGCGCAAATCGGCAAAGACCCAGTTAAGCTGAGGTTTTATTCATAATCGCAATCTTATATAGATCATAGATAACTTTGATGACACAATGACTTCATCGCTTGCAGAACTCCAGAATTTCAGGCAAGTCGTAGAAATAAACTTCTTTCGTGTTGGCAGAAATGCGTAGATGCGACTTTATTCCGACGTATAAAATCTATTCTAAGATGAGATATACTCCTTTAAAGATACAGGTTTGATTTTCTCATTAATTTCTGAGAAACTTAATAATACAAGGAATGTTTCACGTCTACCATGTGGAGGAATAATAAGGGGTCTGTTAAAAATAAAACAAAACACTTCAGTAGGCGCGCATAGGATGCAGAAATACAAAGGAGAAGATTTCAAAGCAGGAGTCACTATCCTAAGGCAGGAATCCAAAGGTTCAGAGTGTAAATCTCTTGAAGAGTTTTAGATCGATTCCAAAATTTCAAAAATGAAACGCCTGGAGGAGTGTCTCGTCATCATGCGTGACCTGGCGCCATACCTCAGGATGATTCAGTGACCTGACACAGTCACAGTCCTCACCCATGTATTACTCTGTGCAGCTGCTCTCCACCAACTAATTGGAATACTTACAACGAATAAACGGTGGGTGTTTAAATAAAACTGTTTCTTATACGAATGCAAATTTATTTGTTAAGTTTCATCTCCAAGGGTTATGAAAGTGTTTGGCTGAGTAGATCGCATGTCAGCTTGACTTTTCCAAGCTCTGAAGAAGGCGGAACCGCCGAAACGTCAGCTAATGTATCCTGATAAATTCTATAATACCAACCTCGTGTCTGATTACTGAAGAAAAACATTGAATTATCAATCAATGCCGAGGTTAGTAGAAAGTCGGTTTTGGGAATAAGGAGTCTACTTGTCTACTTTAACTCATGGTACAAGTGGCACTAACGCATCCGAAGCGGCTCGCATCCTTCGAAACCCGTGGTCGCATACGGAATAAATGGATGCGACCAAAATGCTGTCGGAACAAAACTGTTTCGTTGTGGTCGTCCCTGCAAATCGTGGAAAACAGCCTCTACTGTTTTTTGTCTCTACAGTAGGAAAAGAATCGTTGCAAGACGTCGTCGTTGGACCACATCCTTTGCAACATCTACGAGATTCCTATTTAATATAGAAGTGGCCGTATAGAGATCTATGAAATGAGAGAAAGAACTGAATAATAATTCATAAGAGTGAAGGCATACTTTCTGAAATGGACACTTCTCTACGTATCAAAATCCATGCGGATGATCGCTGATGTCTGTTTAGATTTATCCTGCCCCAAACAACCTTACACGCACAAAAACTCGAATCCAATAACGAAAATATTTGCAAAACAAATTTCTTACCAAAGGTAGTTGACATAGCATTTTGCATACATACACCATTAATGCAATACTGTCCAACAGGACAAATAGCTCCAGTCAAACAATCTGAAAGTGGCGAAAAAATCGTTCAAGACAAAGTTGTAGTTCATAGAAACCACTTTTTTTTTCCACAAAAAACAAGTTTCGTCCATTTATTCTTTCCTTACACGATTCGCCTTCGTATCTACTGGATAGGACCCAGTATTTTTTGCACTCCACTCGTTTTCTCTTATGAGTGAACCGTGAACGTTTTCGATTTTGTTTTGAGTGTGGGTTCGGCTGCTAACTTTCGATTTTTGCATTTGCTATGAACATCTTTGAATGCAGGTCGAGTCGATTCTCTAGAGCGCTGGACAGTCAGGCTAGATCGTTCCCATTTGGATTTCAGGAAGTGAACAGTTCACATATAAGTTTGGTACTAACTTTCCAACCACGGAAAGGTGGCAGTCTTGCCGAACCCGGGGCAGCGTCTACTCTGCACCGTGTTAGTGATGAACGGCGTCACTACCACTGTGGTATCCGCCCTGCACTACGGAGATTAGTGATATTGATTACTTCTATAATTTGTTATAATTCTTAAATTCGGCGCTTGCGATGTAACTGGTAAAGGAAAGCTGCATTAAGAAATTGTGTTCCTTGGTTTGGTGCCAATGGTGTCTACAAGATCAGCAGACTGGTGTCGGAATTTGTCTTAGAGGATTATTAAACGGTGACTTGAGATATCGGTAGGTTCCCAGAAGTTTTCACTTGGGCCAAATATCTTTTGGTTCGCCTTTACGATGGTTAATGGAGTCGAATGAATAGCGTATCCCTTAAAGGATTGGTCAGTGCAGAAAGCTTTATCTTTTGTCCTATATATAAAAATTAGGGCTGTTTTCCCTACATTGAAATATCTCTAGTCGATTAGTTGCGAGCTCACATGGAGCCGTACCAAGTGCTGGCGGTGTGGATTTAATTACCAAATGGAGTTGATTATCATCTACTTGTACTCAGCAATAGAACGAGTTCCTATAGCAGCAGAAATTGCTTCCATGCCTTTGATAAGCTGATTTAGAAATCAGCCTGTAAGAAGCTGCATAACAGTAGTTCAAGAATCTCTTCCATAAGATAATTCAAACTAACGTCAATACTGTACAGACATAACAAACTATGCCTGAACATGCCCATTAATAGAAGGACTACTGTTATGAGTTCGAGCTATCGCTCGATGATCTATGGGATTACAGTTGGTAATAGAATCGATGTGTTCTCACCGGACAAAACCAGAACGACTGTTGAAATAAAGTGAGGACAAAAAAGTACGTGTAAATAAATTATGGTCAGTTTTTTGCCGTGCTGATAATTAAAGGTTTCCTGAGTGATTTTGCTAATCTGATCTACTAAGGTTTCTAACCTCTAGCTTCAACGAGCGGAACTTAATAAATAGACCAGTTTAAGCGACAAGCAAATAAAGTGCTAATTAAAGAAGTGATTTTTAGCTGAGCATTTAAAACGAAAAGCAGGAACAAAATCACAAAGAATGAGGTAGAAAATTTTGAAATAGGCCGAAGATTCTCCGATGAGGAAGTGCATGGAACTCACTTGTTTGAACTGGGACGATCTGACTACCGCTGTACGCAACATTACTTCGACTACAGAAACCGTTAACACAAATCTGACCGTTGAAACACTGTTGCATCAAGCTGCATGGTTGTGTTCCTGAATAGAGGTGTCTAAATTTTAATATTTTTGGTGGCTTTCTATGCTCATCTGCTGTGATTTTCGTCAATTTGATAAAAAACGGAAGTTATCAAAGTGTTGAAGCTTCTCGAAAGAAGCACTTTGGCTATTTAGGAGTGTGTGATTTTAAAGTACAGTGTACAACGGATGGTTTAGTTCAAAGACAAGATTCTGCAATGCTGAGAACGAGCCAAAAATTTTAAATGGAATCCGAGCTAAGAATAGGCCAAGGTCAAGAATTGCAGCCAGCTGCAGCTAACCTATCCCCAAAGGATCGACATCCGCCTTTAGTTAAGACTCCAACAGCGTTATCGATTTTTTATGAACCAGTTTCTTAATTGTCAAATCAAAAACCTTTCAGAGGTGTGAAGAAAACTGAAGTTGGATCCGGAAACACAAGTACCATGGGCTGGAAACTATGTGAGTTTTATATTTAAAAGAGAAGAATTCCGGAGATATAGAGGACTTCGGACATCTTCATCCGGTCTAGGTAGGGTGATCGAAAGCGTTTTCATAACTGCTACTTGATTCAGTTGCTCCTTTTCCAAAGATTATCTTATCGTGCATCATGAACTCTGGATGTGAAACAACAATCTGAGTAAACAACACTGTGACATGAAAAGGACAAGCAAGGGTGTAAGGCGGTCATAATACATAAGAACGTTTATCATAACAGGTAACACCATTTCTCACAAGTTACTCGCGGGGGTTGAAGTGAACAATGAACTTGCTCGATTGAGTTGAGAATGTAGTCGGGTTTGTATCAAATTTTTGCTTTACAGATGGCACTCTCATCTTTTCCAGTAGTGCCTCTGAAGTAGAGGTAATTCAAGTGATTCAGCGAGCAAACTAGAAGGGAACGTTTTAGCATTGAAAAAGACATGTAGAAGCAGTCACTAATTAACTGACACATGCAAAATTTCCTCGTTATTCTAAGTAAGCGGTAAATAAAAAATTAAGCACTGTGATGTCGACTAAAGTCTCAGATTAACTGGGTTCATTACTGATTTGGGCTCCTCAGACGAACCCCGTAGACGGATGATTGCTGATCGCACTGATCGACAGAAAACTAGCTGAGATACAAAGCGCACGGTGTGGTGGTGAACGCGTTAGACCCCGCAAAGGATAATAGCGTGTTGGTTCCCTACCGCAGACACCTGGGGCCCTGAGTTTTGCAAATATCTCAGCATCGTTATGGTTGTATCACACGTAATACGCTGCCGTGAAAAATTATAATAGGCAGTAAATAAAAATGTTAACATTCGAAAAGTCGCTGAATCAGCACTATTTTATTACAGTGCTAAACTTGTAGTTTGTCGAAAGGAACTGGTTTGTTTTGTAGGAGAATAATTTCGAAGTTACTAATAAGCACGTAAAATTCCATATGTTCACTCACAAATAGTTATATGATGAAATTTAACTCACCACCCATTATACCGCCACCCAATAAACCATAGACACCTACACCACCAACACCACCACCAAACGGTATGCCGCCTGCTCCGTACACTCCTTAAGATTGAAAGACTAAATAAAGACAGAAATTGTTTTTGTCTGGTAGAAAAAAATTCAAAGAAACTTTAAGACATCAATGATCAGAAGTGTTCGGATCCAAAATACAGCCGCAAAATTTTCGTATCCCAAATGATCGATGAATTTTGATGTTTTCTAAGCCTTTAACAGTGTAGGCCTTATTTAGGTAATTGTTCAATCATCCACTTGAGATACTCAAGAGCTTGGAAAAGTCAAACTGACAAGCGACCTACTCAGCCAAACACTTTCATAACCGTAGCAGATAAAACTTAACAAACAAATTTGTATTCACATAAGAAACAGCTTCATTCAAACACCTACCGTTTATTTGTTGTAAGTATTTAAGTTAGTTTATGGATAGCAGCCACACAGAGTAATACATGGACGATAACAGTGTCAGTGTCAGGTCATTGGATTAGCCTGAGGTATGGCGCCAGGTCACGCGTGATGTCAAGACACTCCTCCTTGCGGTTCATTTTTGAATTTTTGGAACTGATCCAGAACGCTTCAAAGGTTTCATGGGCTGATTTTTTCGATTATATTGACTATATTTTGATGTTTTCTATCTCCATTGATTCCATAAGATAATCACGATGTACATAGCGATAGTAAGTGAGACACTAATCGGATGACCACAAGGATGTTGAGACACGAGCAAAACATGGGACGGCTGGGCTTCGAACATGTGATTACCGTCACCGGATGCTCACGAGTTATCCACCACCCAACAGAGGCCTTCAGGTTGCCTTTCTCTCGGACGTAATACCGCGCTGTGTAAAAAGAATAGGCTATAAATGGAACTTAGGAGATTAGTAGTAGAACACTTTCGAAAAAAAGGTCTTACATAATGAATGATGATGGTTTTTTGGCACCTTGCAATAATTGTTTAATTGAAGTTATTTGGTATCCAGAGCAAACAGATGTTTTGCAATTATTTATGCCCGACATATAGTGGGTAATAAAGACTAACTTGAGAAAGTTAGGGCATATTGTGCAATTTTCCGTAGTACACAGGCGGTCATATAGGCGGTTACGAACTAACTAGCTTAGAGTTCCCGGTGGTATTTCTACCACTTTTACCGAGTTCTGTAGTCGGTCTCTTCTTAATCAACGTTTTATAGCTGCACTTATTTCGTTTGAATTGAAGACCAAGAGGAACGGAGCCATGTTTTTGCTAGAGTTATAGTTCAGGGGCACAATTTTGCTTCCTCACCTCTCTCAAGGAGCAACAGTTTGGTAGTCATTGGAAATGGCTATTTGCCGCGCCAATTTCCCGAATTCTTTCCTCCGAAGGAGAAGCCGCCGAAACTTCGGCTATTGTATGCTAATAAATTCTGTGATATCAACCTCGTGCTTGCTTATCGAAGGAAAGCAGTGAATTTTCAGTCATTGCAAAGTTTAGTGGAATGTTGGACTTAGGAATCTTTCGATTTTCATTTGAATTCGATAACGCTTAAATTTGAAACGCGTGAGAAGTTGTTTTTTGCATAAATCGTAAAATATTAAGCACTATAGAAGAGTTCAGCTAAAGAAGATCTTCGCAAAGTGACGATGGTTGTCGTGAAGGAGACGATTTCTGTGGTTCTGCTCATTTTGTTCCTGCTTCATTAACAAGTTGGTTCTTTATAACAGCTGGGAAATTTATGACGACGTTGCAAAGACGCACGTGGCGCAGTGGTCGGATGCACCATGCAACAAACACGTGGAATCGATCCCTGCGTCCATGGCCCACCAAGCTTTCCATCTCTCCGCGGCGGCAAATTGGTACCACACCTGTCTGGAATGATCGCAGCACTATTTCGATACGTCGGTAGACCACCGCGAGTCATTGTAAAAGGCCAGATATGCACCCAATCACCTCCAAGTGATGCTAAATGATGTCGAATGCATGGCGCGCCCCTCAGGATCAACGCCGAGAACTCCTCTTATTTATTATTGCAAAAACGACTAAATGGATAAATAAATAGGCCTCGTCGATACAAGAGTTCCGCTATGACGATTTGTAGTACCTGATTGCTTTTGTTGAACAAAACTCTGAAGTGATTAATTCGGTAGAAACCCAATTGCTACGAACCCACTTTATACGGCAAGAAGAAAAAATTTCTTTGCTGATAGAAATGATCTTCCACACATTCTCTTCTTCTTCATTGCTTTACTTTCCTAAGCAAATCCGTTTAGAAGCTACGGTTTTGTTATTCGCTTTCACTGTACACGTCGCGGATCACTGCGATCGCCGTCATTTCGCTTTCACGTTGTCAATTTTTCCCGCTACCAATTACCATATCGCAACTAGTCAAACTGGTATCTCGCCAGTAATGCAGAGCTGTTGCGCAATTGCCCAAAACTACTCCACCGATTTAGTGTAATACAAATTTATAACTATTTCAATGTTTTATTTATATGTTCTTATAAACTGCCCTTGTTGAACTGATGCGAGGTTGGTTGTCGTTGTTGGTAATGTTGTTGTTGTTGTTATTGTTTGTCGGTGGCTGACACTTTGACGATTCAGCCTACGAGTCTGGGATTCCACAACCGTAGC